ATGCCGGGGCATCCTCCCTCCGAATTCCATAGGCGTGACGTCTCATCTCTTGTACAGTCTGTTAAATCTATTGACTCTTCTCGTGATTCATGTCATAATATCTCCAGCAAAATTCAATCAGAAGTGGAGGCAGTCATTAAGGTCACTAAAAGGTCCGATAATCCTGACATTATTTGTATGTCTATTCGCGATAAAGAGAACAGTGCCTTGCATTTATTAGAGTGGAATGGGAAAACAGCAACAGGTCATTGTCGTCTGGTTCGTCATAAAATTCACATAAAGCCTGGTGTGGAGCCCTCCCGGCAGAAACCCAGGAAATTATCCGAAATCAAGATCAAGGCTCTGCACGAGATAGTAAATAATTATATCACCAGAACAGATAGCATCTGGTCTAGTGAACCTCTCCTCGTTGCGAAGAAAGACGGATCATGGCGCTTGTGTATCGACTATCGCAGCTTAAACGCTCGTACTTTTAAGTCAAGTTATCCACTCCCAAATATGCTCAGGATTTTACAGAAAATTAGTCGCCCTAATTTTATATCGACGGTGGACATCTCTAATGCGTTTCATGACATTGAGATAGAACCCGAAGATAGAAAATATACAGCTTTTCATGTAGAGGGGAGGAGACAGTTTGAGTGGGTCAGAATGCCCTTCGGGTTGACTGGCGCACCCTCAACCTATTGTCGTCTCGCCGATATTACTAGGGAGATCAGGGATCGACTTCGTCAGTCTCATCCAGAATTGCAAATTGAACAGCATATTTTTGTGTATCTAGATGATTGGATCGTAGTCAGTGAGAATAAAGAAGTACATGAGATTCTCTTAACTACTTTTATTACAGTTTTGACGGAACTCGGTTTCAAATTACATCAAGAAAAATGTAAGTTGTATTGTAATCGCATAGAATATCTTGGATTCGTAGTTGACAATGGCGGAGTTTATGTGAGTAAAGAGCTTCTCGCACCTATAATCAATTATCCAGTCCCTAAAGATAAAACTCAGTTAAGAAGATTTATTAGGTGTGTCAATTGGGATCATAGACACCTTAGGAATATAGGTACGACTATGGCTCCCCTCCATAAACTCACAAGTCCGAAGTCAACTTGGTCTTGGACCAATGACGCGCAAGAGGCGTTCCTTCGTACGAAGGAGGCGTTGGCTAACGTTCCCACTCTTTACCCGGCCGATTCATCTTTGCCGTTTCGTCTTTACACTGATGCGAGTGATGTGGAAATAGGCGCGATTTTGGTACAATATAACGAGGAAGAAGATAAAGGATACCTGAATTGTTGTGTTTCTCGTCAATTAACGAAAACCGAAAGAAATTATCATACGTCGGACAAGGGATGTTTGGCAGTGATATGGGCGGTAACTAAGTTACGCCATTTTATCGAAGGCAGTCCAGTCGCCGTATACACCGATCACGCTGCACTTACGCACCTGACTGACGCGTCTGATCTTAAAGGCCGGCTATCAAGGTGGGCGGTACTACTTTCCACGTTTGATCTTACATTCATTCATTGTCGAGGTACACGTAACGAGGCTCCCGACGCTTAGTCTCCAGTTTTTGTAGGGAATTTACAACCAGATCCCATAAATCCAGTCAAAACATATGAAGATATGCCTGAGTTTCCATTTAATTTATCTTCTATTACTCTTCCGCTTGAAATCGCTTCCGTCAGGAATGTTACCATCGCTAAAATCACCACAAGGCGAAAGAACAAAAAGAAAGCTAAAAACACTAAAACGAGTAATGGTCCTCCTCCATTAATATCCCACAATCCTTTAAATACATCTCAGGTACCACTATTGTCTGATGATCAGTCGAAAATTAATGATAATCATACTTCAAGTATGAATCACAAGTCCAAAATCACTTTACCTTCATCTTAAGATGACATTCCACCTAAGTTCATACATCTTGACGATGAAGAGGAAGGGATAGATGTTGAGAATCCTCATCGAGCTCTTTTGCTTGAGCGAAAAGTCGCTAAAGAGAATTATAGTATTTAGTATCGAAACAAAGTTTATTTACTTCAAAAGACTCCGCATAAATTACCTAATTGGTGTCTTAAAAATAATGATCTTTATTTTTATACTTATGACTGTGAAGCAACAGTATGTGATAACTACTGGAAAAAGGTTCCACCCAACTATGAGTCCATCGTTGAAATTTCACGTGAGGCACACGACGATGTCACGTCAGGTCATCTCGGCGTTGACAAGACTTATGCAAGGGTCAGATCAAAGTACTATTTTCCTAACATGTCGCGAATGATTCGAAATTATGTGATATCCTGTGAAGCTTGCTTCACTAATAAATATAATCAGCTTAAAGCTACAGATCATCAGGGTCATCGTCCCATGCTTGCTCCTTGGTCCATTCTTTCAATAGACTCTATAGGTCCTTTCCCAGTTTCGAAGAAACAAAAAAAGTACGCAATCGTAGTGCAGGATCTTTATACCAAGTATATTAAAGTTAAACCGGTCCAAATCACCACCTAAAAAGAGCAGGTTACGATCAACCATCTACGATCGTAATCGATATCCAACGGATCGACACTTTATACAGCTCAAGTATCCAGTGGAGCGATCTCGCGGCGTCGATTTTATTCCAGTGGCCGCCCTCATCTAATGTGATCCACCGATATATAAGGACTTATTCACACCATCATACCCAGTGGACCGACAATCAATCCTAGAGTTCTTTGGAGGAGACAAATTAACGCCCCAGCGAGTCCAACATTAACTCGTGAAATCAACGTTCTGAGTACAACTCAATATACCAGATTTGAGTTCCAAGTTTGCATATACTTGGTATAATTTTGATCCGACGGCGACTGAGATGATGGTACAGGACGTCGTGCCGAGCTTTCACTTCGCTCCGCACCTGCAGAGCCTATACACTAGAAGAATGTTAACCAGAGACGATGTCATTGCACTTACTACCTACGGTGCAATTGATCCTTTCCGTTCGGCACCACCACCTCGCCAGGCGGACGTGTACATCGCACCTATGATAACTCGAGTGAATTGGGCAGTTGACGCTTTTTACCGTACACCAACTCCTAGATCATTATTGGAACAAGCTGCAAGAGGAACTAATAATCAATTTACCTGCCAAACGTATTACGCCGGAGATCGCTGTGCCAACTGTTACCAGCCAAACCACAATTATGCTCAATGCAAATTGCCACTAAGACCGGTGTTCTGACTTGGAGGGGCCCAAGTCAGTTAGTCAGGAATAATCAAAATTTCTTAATGCCGGACGTGTCCACCGGCGCTTCAGTCAACTCACTGGATCAATCATCGGGAAGTATTTTCCTCATGGCCCAGAAGGCGACTCTACGGCCCTAGTGACGCCAACAAGCACGCGGTCGAGCACTTGTGGCGTCAGTTAGCTCCAGGCAAATCACGCGGTCATCTCTGTACAATCGTTCGCAGTCAAATCGCAGATTTTTGCAGTCAGCTCACTCATTGTACAAAAAAGTACGGTCAAATAGACTCAGACAACTCTCACGAACATACGTGAATCATCAAATTACTCTCATCAGTGCCAGTGGTCCAGTATATTCAGTTGTAGTGTCTTTGGGCGCGAAGCTGAACTGGCGTCGACGCCATAGTGCCTCACGGACATTCACATATGCATCGCACCCCCGAACAACTCTGGTGTATACTGTGAATGTTGCTATTCACTGTTGGTTAAGACTATTTTTTTGGTGAAAAAATAATCATCAGACAATTCATACGTGTACAACCAATTACTGTACAGTCAACTCAATTATATGTAGTGATTATTAAGTTCTATTGATTATGTTAAGTGTTATTGTTGAATAAAAAACATCAAAACCTAGACAAATTGGTATTAGTGAATCATTTTTTTGAACCTTCTGGCATCCAACCTTTGTTATTATTCTGCTCTCAATTATTATAGTCCACTAAGTTAGTTTGCTCGTCCGGCCGACTCGAAGTCAGAACATTAGGTCCTTCGAGCCGGATTAGAACAGCTTGGATGCATATCGAACAATTCCAGAAAGTTCTAGTGCTTCAGAAGTTTGCGAATATTTTGTGAAATATTCTCTCTAAAGTGCGTGTGATTCACTTAGATTCAGACAACTCTCAGTGTTAGTGGGTAAACAACCTTACAGACAAAAGGTGTTTACGCATTCCAGTGCCCAGTGACACTCATCTCTCTTATTGTGAGACAGTGGTGCTCATCTCACAAATCAAACAGTTTCTTGAGACGCTTGGTGCGCAGTTTTTTGGTGTGAGAGTCAAGATAACCTTGACACAGGCAACTCACTTGTATATAAACATAGTTATTAATTAGGGTAGTGTTCGTGGTGTAAAGTTCGTCACCAACAACGATTATTCAGAGCTCGTAGACTCAGTGAAGTAATTTGTGTGATTCTTTTGGTGTTGAGACTTTATTGAAAGCCCACCATTTGCATCAAGGTGACAACAGACAACTCTAGCAACATTTTTTGTGAATTTTCTTAGTGATAAGTGTAAGTTTAGTGACATTAGACAATTCACTCAACTGAACTATGGCAGACAAACGGTTAATTTCGCCTGCAAAATCGGACTACGTCGATGTAGCCGAAGACAATGAATCAGTTAAAGGTGTTAGTGAGATATTAGAGCAAGTGAGTGTAAGCCAAGCACCATCACCAGTTCCAGTCGACTCTCAGGCAGAAGGTACCAGTGGAACAACACTCAAGGTACCCGAAAAAGCCACAACATCACGTGACAGGTCCAAGTCACCACCTGCACTGGCAAACACCACATTATTTAAATTGACGTCTCAAATGTCCAGGTATGAGCAGCTTCAGTTTATGCAGCAAGACGTGGCTGATCTTGTGCGACAGCCTGCTCTCGTCACAATGCCCATAATCAAGGCGAAGCTATAACAACTCAACGACCTCTGGACATACTTCGTGGTGGAGCATGAGGCATTAGGAGTAGGGTGTCGGTTGACACTATTCAAACACCAGTATATGAGCAACAGAGTGTATGAAAGTGCTTTACGGCTTCATTACCATATAGAGTCAACTCTCCATCGTGTTAAATCAGAGCTACACGAGAAAGACATCCAGAAGGCCATCGATGATTACAAGGCCTCTACACAGCAGACAACTCCAATCATATACAGACAGGCAACTCTCCCAGAGATCCCTCTCCCAACATTCGCAGGCGACTCATCAACGTGGACGCAGTTTCGGGACATGTTTACGTCCCTCGTTCACGATCGGGAAGATCTCAGACCAGTAGCCAAACTACACTACCTGAAGGCCAACGTATCAGGTCCCCCACTTCAACTGATCCGTCATGCTGTAATGAATGATGATGGGTATGAGCCAGCATGGAATCAGCTCGAGGCCAGGTACGATGATCCAGAACAACTCATCTTTGCCCACATCAAGGACCTGTTCAGTGTGACCACACCATCATCAAAGTTAGCTGAACAACTCGACAACCTGGTAGGAGTAGTACGGCAAAACTTGGATGCCTTAAAGGCTCTCAATGTACCTGTAGACGCTGCAAATTACTTTCTGGTGTACCTGGTGGCCAGTAAACTTGAGCAGCCGCTACGTGAGTCATGGGAACTCGAGCGAAGTAGGTCTCGCTCACCGACAACTCTAGACAGTCTACTCAACTTCATCTCAACCAGGGCACGTGCGATGGAGTCAACTCAAGATGCAGCCCGTCAAGCAAAACGGTGGCCTACTCCAGTGATCACCAGAAGGTTCAGATCACAACAACAGTCTACTCACCAGCAGACGACTCACCCACAGACAACTCGAGCCTCCAGGCATGGGGCTCAAAAACGACAAGCAGACTACCCGTGTGATCAATGCAGCAGTTTGGATCACTATTTGGTTGACTGCAAAGCGTTCGCAGGACTTTCACAACAAGAAAGGTACAAGCTGGTCCTCGCAGCACGGCTGTGCTTCGATTGCTTCGGCCACCACTCCATCCAGGTGTGCCAGTCAGAGAAACGATGCAGCACGTGCAATTTAAAGCACCATTCAATGATTCACACGCCCAGGACAGAATCTCTAAGGAAAAGAGGATATGGCCCTGGCTAAGAACCGCAGCCGACTCATAGCAGCCACCACCCATCAACCTCCCAGTGAGATGACGATGTGCCATTTCGACAGCCGACTCCAGATCACACCCATTCATCTAAGCAGACTTCTTACCAGGTAACTCATCATCATAGTCAACTCTCTGCAGTCAACTCTAATGATGTTTTAGTCAATTCTCCAAGTGGTGGTGTGATCACTCAACATGCAGACAACTCAATGATTAATGGTTATGAGTCATGTCAATCTATATGTGCTGACAGGAGTAAAGAATGCTTCTCTGATGACTCGACGGAAAGGATGACCTTAGCACATGAGGTTTCGGCCTCAGGAGGGTTGAGGGTCCTGGAAGAAGAGTCAGAAGGTCTCGTTCGATCTCCTACAGCTAAAGAAAAGAGTCAAACTCACACTAGTCAACTCTCAGACGACTCACATGATTCAACAATCACCAAGAACACTACAGACAACTCAGATATCCATGGAAGACTCTCTTCAGCACTCAGGGCAGCAGAAGATCCATGCACTAACGAGTCTCCAGTTCAATCAGTCAGCTCAGCAGTCTTACTCGCCACAGCTAATGCAGTATTACTCTCAGACTACTCTCAGCTTCCAGTAAGACTCCTGATAGACTCAGGGTCTGAGCTGACGTTCATCTCATCAAGTGTGGTAAAGACTTGTCATATCCAACGTCGTCCGTCAGTGATATCAGTGCTGGGAATTGGTAACGAACCAGCTGTACAAACTAGAGGAGTGACAACAGTGACACTTAGATCAACTCACACACAGGAGCAAGTTACAATTAATGCTCATATCCTCAAATGTGTCACTGGTACTTTACCAACCAGACAACTCAAGGAACTCAACTGGTCAGCTCTCAACTCTCTGCAACTTGCTGATCCAGACTACTCAACTCCAAGACCCATTGACATCTTAATAGGAGCAGATTGTTATGGTCTGATTGTGAAAGCGGGCATCAAACAATGTCCTCAGTCATCGCTAATAGCCCAAGATTCAATTTTTGGATGGATGCTCATTGGAAGTCCACAACCGACAAGATGCTCAAGTCAGAGAACTCATCACGCAGCGAGGGTCAACTCATACCAGCAAGTATCTGATATCTTGACAAAATTCTGGGTTCAAGAAGAAGTTCGAGAGACCTTAGCCAGCCAACTCAGCCCAGATGATCGATCTTGTGAAGATCATTATGTTGCGACTCATTCAAGAGATCAAGATGGGAGATATATTGTGAGAATACCAGTAAAAGCATCACCATCTTTTCTAGGCAACTCATCAGCGAGAGCTCATCAGTGTTTACTACACATGATCAGACGACTCACAAAGAATGACTCATATGCACAACTCTATCACAACTTTATGCAAGAATACGAGTCACTGAACCACATGACACGAGCCAAGGCAAGTCCAGTCAACTCTCCAGTGTATTATTTGCCTCATCATGGTGTCTCAAGAGAAGACAGTGTTACTACAAAACTCCGTGTAGTATTTAATGGCTCTAGTCCATCTTCTAGTGGTCTGTTAGTGAACGACATTCAACATACTGGTGCCAAAGTCCAAAAAGACATTGCAGACGTACTCATTTGGATCAGGCAGCATAAATTTGTATTTACATCAGACATCACAAAGATGTACAGACAAATCAAGGTACATCAAGATGACTGGGATCTCCAGAGAATCCTGTGGGTGGACGAGCACTCCAAGATAATCCCATATCAACTCACAACGGTCACGTATGGAACCAGGTCAGCTCCATTTCTGGCTGTTCGTACAATGATCCAGCTAGTAAAGGATGAAGGTCATAAGTTCCCTCTAGCTGTTGATCCACTACTAAAAGGAAGATATGTGGACGACATTTTTGGAGGTGCTGACACAGTGAGTCAACTGATAGACATCTCAACCCACGTCCGACAACTTTGCATGGCAGGTGGCTTCGCGTTGGCGAAATGGCACAGCAACTCACTTCAATTCCTTCAATCAATTACAGACAACTCATCAGAAGAGCAGATCCACTCATTTGAGAGCAGCAAAACAAAATTACTTGGGCTCTCGTGGATTCCAGCGAACGACTCATTTAAGTTCAACTCAAAACCTCCTCGTGAGAAGTCCAAGCTCACAAAGAGAATAATTTTATCAGAAACAGCACAACTCTACGATCCACTTGGATTTCTAGCACCCTTCATTGTCAGAGCAAAGATGTTGCTACAAGAAATCTGGCTAGATAAACTTTCATGGGATGACCAAGCCCCAGATCACATCATCACCAAGTGGAACAGCTTCAAATCAGAACTCTCACATGTTTCAGACCTCTCAATTCCACGATGGTTAAAGATTACTCAGAAATCGACCGTGGAACTTCATGGTTTTTCAGACGCCTCACAAGCAGCTATGGCAGCTGTTGTTTACATACGGGCTACTCATCCAGATCATGGAACTCGTTCAACTATAGTCTGCTCAAAGTCTAAGGTTGCTCCATTGAAGAAGATGTCAATTCCCAGACTCGAACTCACAGCAGCATTGCTGCTTGCCAGACTAATCACTTATGTAAGGACCAACTTAGACATTCAGCCAACTCAACTCGTATGTTGGACAGACTCCTCAGTGACTTTGACCTGGATTCAGTCTCACTCATCCCGTTGGAAGGAGTTTGTAAGAAACAGAGTGTCAGCAATTCAAGATCTCACTCCAATCAGCGTTTGGAGGTTTGTACCTGGCAAACAAAATCCAGCGGATTGTGCTTCTCGAGGTATCAGCATATCCCAGCTTCGGAAGCACCCCCTGTGGTGGACAGGACCACAGTGGTTAACAGCAGACGAATCATTATGGCCAACTCAATCATCAGTGTACGACTCAAAAGCTCAGCAGGAAGAGCGGCCCGGGCTCACTTTAGTTACTCAGACAATTCAACATGATTATCATTGGGATATGATATACAGACATTCTCGGCTAATCAAATTGCTCTGACTGCAATTTGCTTCAGATTCAGCCAACTCCTCAGACGAGTACCGCAGTCATCTCTCACCTTCCCTCTCACGCCACAAGAATTAGAGAGAGCAAGGATTTTTTGGATAAAGGCAACTCAAGAATCGTACTTCTCACAGGAAATCAAGCAGATCAACTCAAATTCACTGCCCGTCTCACACCCCCTCGCACGATTGACAGCATTTATTGACACTCAAGGAGTCATACGTGTTGGAGGAAGGTTAGCAAATGCTAGCTTGGACCAAGAAGCAAAGCATCCTGCAATCCTACCACAGAAAACTCATCTTTCCAGACTAATCATTGCAGATGCTCATGAAAGAACATTGCACGGTGGGACGCAGGCAACTCTGAACCTTATACGGTCATCGTACTGGATCATTGGCGGACGACTCCCAGTACGATCCTATATTTATCATTGTATGAAATGTGCTCGTTTACGTGGCGAACGAGCGAAGCAGTTAATGGGTCAATTGCCGTTATCAAGAATCACTCCAGCCCGACCATTTGCCGTCTGTGGTGTGGATTACGCTGGTCCCATCACGCTAAAGACTTGGAAAGGCAGAGGCGCCAAAACATCTAAGGGTTGGATGTGCATTTTTGTGTGCTTCGTTACTTCTGCACTTCATTTAGAAATTGTAACAGATTATTCAGCAGACTCATTTATTGCAGCGTTTAGACGGTTCACTCGACGTCGAGGTGTCTGCAGAACTCTTCACAGTGATTGTGGCACCACATTCCAAGGCGCAGACACGCTCATCAGACAACTCTTCACGCAGGGGACTCAACAGGCCAGTCAACTCGCAGCTGTATTTGCAAAGGATGGAACTGATTGGAAGTTTAATCCACTAGCTGCACCATATATGGGAGGAAAATGGGAAGCTGCAGTCAAATCAGTAAAGTTTCATCTTCACAGAACGATAGGCGACTCAAACTTTACATATGAAGAGCTTTCCACACTGCTTGTCCAGATAGAAGCAGTCCTTAACTCCAGACCACTCGAGCCTCTCTCAGCCGACTCTACAGACATTTCAGCGTTAACTCCAGCACACTTCTTGATTGGTAAAGTGCTCATAACATTACCAGAGCCTTCACTTGAAGATGGATCCCTACGGAGTTGCGGTTTCACATTGCCCACCTCCCTTGTCAGAGTGAGATTAATGCGTCGGTGGTCCGACAGAGTTTCCTCTTCGTCCAATATGCTGGTGGCGAATTAAAAGATAACCAGTGTTTAAAAATAGAAATTTCGCTCGAAATTTAAAACTGACAATGCGAATTTTCTTACACTCATAGGGAAGGAGCAGATAAACGATAATGACCCTCTTCATTAAAATATTTTCAAATCTATGATAGATAAGAAAAAAAAAATTTCAAATAAAAATTTTGAAAACAACGATGAGAGTTTCCAGCTAAATTTTCGAGAAGCTGCTATTTTTTTCAACAGTCAAGTTTTTTTACATTTGATGTAGTTCCCATATGATCTATGGGCCAACCATAAGAGGTCTAAGTATTTTTTTTTCAAGGTAGATAAAGGAAGTGATTTTTTTTCTAAAATTATGCATTCAAAAGTTATAAACAATTTTATTGTTTACATGCATTTTTCATTGTCTTATTATCATTGTCTTATTTCATTCTTCATTGTCTTATTATGTTTATACAATTATAATGTGTTGTATAATTTTTTTTTTTAGGCACATACTTTGACCACGTTAGTACTTTTATATTTTATAGACATTACACGTATCTCAATACAACACGTATCACAAAGACTGCCGCACTTGAGGCAATAATTGCCAATATCGATTTTAGCGTAATTGAGAAAATATTCGCAAATGGAACCGACCCGACTTGGAGTTCACGGTGTGGCCATTATTAACGCATGAGGCCAGAAACGTTTCAAAAGGAGATAACCGGGTTCCATACAAACAACCAGGGTCGATAAAGAAGACGGCTCAAGAACTTGAAGAATTCAGGACTAGCTAAAACCTAAAACGATCGAAGGGGCGTCCGGTTGACCTTGCGCGTGTTGCCTTCTGGCACTTTCGCTAACGGCTGACCCTTCGAACTGGCTGCGTGTACGTGGTCGCGATTGGTCTGTTCCTATTGCGCGTCGTGATATAATTCCACTCAGTTTAAAAAAGGTGCTATATTCCTAACTCGACTGGACGCTCAAGTAGGTCCAATGAGTAATATATATTAATATACATATGTATGTATGTATGTATATATGTATGTATGCAAGAAAAATGTACGCAAATATGCACATACGTGCATACCTACACAGAGACGTTTACTTGAAAACAATCGAATATGAATCATATTTTCCCTATCACGAACCAATACATGTTGTTTTTAATGATAATATCATTGTGCATGCCACTGATAATCCTAACTTCACTAATGTAAGTTGCACAATTACAAATGATAATTATAGTAAAATGACATAAGAAAAATTTCTTCGATCCTTTTAACAGTTATTTTCTGTCCTTAATCATTTCCGATTATAATGAATTTTTCACCTTTCGCGAACCGCTTTAATGAGTTTAAAAAAGAAAAATCATTATTTAGATTGTTAAGGGCGGAAATATTTGGATTCGATTTTTATTTCAGATTGTGAAGCCCATTTTTGCAAATCAAAATAATGTATTATCATACTGATGCCTACAAGAACTCTGGAATGATTTAATGTATAAGCACAATTCCCGAAAAGGAATCAGCTCAGAGTCGAAATTATGATTAGTTCTCGAGGAACCTTGACCGAAAAATATTCACACCTTCGTACGTAGATACATACACGTACGCATCTTTTTAGAAATCGTTTACATGAACTTATAATATGTCGAAATGCCGAGATCTGTTGAGATCTTTAAGTCACCTAATTTAATCGTTACGATAACTTTCCGATAGGAAGTTAATTACAAGAATGGTTATTATTAATTTTTCACTTACTTCTTTGTCACTAAATATCTTCAGATAATCAGTAATCTGGAATCGAAAGAACAACATCTGCGGTGTTTTTCACCTACGAGTAGAAATTGAAAGCATTGAATTTTATTACTACTGCCGAATTTTTTATAAAAATTAAGTTGGCTCATCTAAATAATGAAGGTTTTATGTAGTTTGACCTCGTTTTTCCGACTCTATGTTTTGAAAATGGCCGTATTTTACAATTTTTTATCTGTGGAATAGGATTATTGGATGTAGCTTAATATTCTTTAGTTCATCAAGTTGAAATTGTCGAATTACACTTTAGATACAATCGACCATAAGAAATCTGTAAATATAACTGATCCCTTCGATTCAACTTTAATCAGATCAATAGTTTTACTGTTTGTGTAACGCATAACAACTATCGGAGTATCTTCAATATTGTCGTTATTTTTAAAACATTTCGCATATGATAAATCATGCATTAGTAATATAAAGTTTAGATCTTTATACTGAATAATAAGATTATAAATATCAACCCAGTCAAGAGGCATCGATATCAATGTTATGAACTCATAAAACATTTTCGGAGTTTCTATCGACTCGCAGCCTAAACGACTAAGAGCTAAAATAAATAAATCATGATAAATCGAGTAGCAAACGCGGACCCTATTACTCTGATTTCGTACTTCAGATATTTTTCTTAATGTATGCAATTTATTAACGTTAATTACTATCAAAGGAAATGCTTTATCGAACAATTTACGAACTTGTTCAACGTAATTGTCAGTGTTTGAAACTAAAGAAAGTGTTAAGAACTTAGTCTTCGCAGAAAAGTGTGCTTCCCCATAATGGATCGGTAGATTCGTTGTTTGAAGACAGAACGAATGTACACCGTATACCATTGGAATTTCTCGTGAACTTAACTGTATCAAATCGTTATGAGTTTTAAAATGACTGGGCAAATCGCAACCTGTTACATCACTTTTACAATTAGATTGTTTTTTTAGAGACATCACGTCTGACAATAGATCGTTTAAGTTTTTTTTCAAATTCATCGCATTAACGTAATTAACTAAAAGACTGTGTCTAACGATGACTAATATAAACAAAAAAATTATAAATTTCAGTCAGTCATAAAGACTCCCAGTAGGAATTTAAACTTAGAAGTAGAGAAATTCTGTGCTATTGACAATGATATTTTAGACTTGCCATTAAATAACAATTCGCGTTACCAAGTGTTAAATTACGAGCGGAACAGAGAAGTAGTCGACAAACTAATCATTTCATACCGGCTATTACTCCCATACCCTATGTATATTGTTAGTTGGCACTAAATAAAATTGTTATGATTATTGTAAAACCCTCCTTATCAAAATAAAATTCAATCTATTTTGTAGCAAACTATAACTGCCTAAGTGCACATATTATATTACTATAATTTTCTCATAGACATAAGATACTTTACTTTAAGGATTATATTATAGTCCGTCAGCAAGACGTTGGGAGCTACAGGCTACTCAACGAGCAATTTAGTGTAAGTTGTTAGATTAAACCTAGACTTAAAAGGAGCAACATCTCTGTATTTTTACTTCTACAAATATTCAATAAATCACTCAAATAAACCCAACTTCACAGTGTCGAAAATTGATTCATTACAATTGGTGTCAGAAGTGGGATTGCTCGAAGATAATACAAAAGTTGATTGAGCAAGCGAATTTAATTTCGAATCAAGAAAACAGTGACAAGTTGGTGTACTTCAAGAGAATTCAGTGCGACTTATCAACTATATACTTCACTAAACCAACAGAACTGAAAGAAAATTGTTCAGCCTTACTAATTCCTAATCAGTGTAAAGATAAGCGCTGGTGCTGTGCAGTAAACATCAACCTGTGAAGCAGAGAGCTGTAACAATATAACTTCTTGCTGTTAACCAGCCATCGAGTTGATAAAACCCTTCAACTCATCACCAGCCAAATTTTACACACGCATCATCCAGCCGTCGCACCATCCAACCTTAGCATTATCCAGCTTTCGCATCATCCAAACCTTACACCACTGAACCACCGTATCACCTACATCTGGACATCAAGAGCGAAGGATGATCAGCATCATCTTCCTGTAAGCTAACTTAATTGCCTATAGTTAATTTCACAAGTATCAAAAATAATATAACCTTCTTACAATCAAACTAAATTTAAATTAATCAAAATGGTCTCGATCGAACTCGCTGCGAAATTACTCACTACATTTAAAGGAGAAAAATCAACACTATTTGAATTCTGCGACAATTGTGACAAAGCAATAGAAATTACCGAGACAGGGGACCACGATTTCCTTTTTAAAATAATTCAAACCAAAATATCTGGGAATGCGCGAGCACTTATTCGTAATCGCACCTTCACTGATTGGGAATCCTTGAAATCTTATCTCATAGAAGCGTACTCTGAAAAACGATCTCACGCACAATGGCAACTCGAACTATCGTCATGCAGGCAAGGCCCAAAAGAGGACGTTTTATCCTTTTCCACGAAGGTTGAAAATTGTCTAATTAAACTCACTAATAGTCTTGACCAAAGCCTGTCTACGACGGGTCGAGCTGCTTGCGTTAAATTAATACAGAATCAAGCTATGAATGTATTCATTTTAGGATTGAATAGGGATCTTTCATTAGTTGTAAAAACTCAAAAATCTACTTCTTTGGAGGACGCAGTGCAATATGCTCTGGCGGAAGAAAGCGAACAGAAATCGCGTGAAGAAATGTCAAAATTTCAGAACCTTAGTTTAAAAGAAACTCGATATTGTGAAAATTGTGATCGCGGGGGACATACTACCCTCCAATGTTTTAAACTCAAACCTCAGACAACATCAACACGATCTGAAACGCAAGTTAGACAAGTTCAAGCGCAAGTTGAAGGCGAAGCTAAATTTTGTAGATACTGTAAAAGAAACGGACACGACATCTCTGAATGCCGTAAAAGGATGTATAATAATTCTAGAAGAGCTCAAAACCCACATAATAATACTAACCCCAATCAAAACCAAAGAATTAATAGTTTGAATACTAATAACGAACCTAACCCCATCAATTCCGAACCTTTAAACTTCGATACTACTCCGGTAGCTGCCGTACCGCGGAGTATAGACAATATCCAGGCAGAACAGTAAAAATAAACTATTTAATGAGTGTCACAACCTCCGTCAATCTTAAAATTATCTAAGCAAAAGAAAATCCACTCGAAATGCTTCTCGATAGTGGGGCTACCGTCTCAGTTATAAAACTCTCAAAACTACGCGGAGACACACCCTGTTATAATAACATAAAATTAACCATCAATGGACTTTCGAATGAAAATATAGAAACTCTAGGTTATTGTCACCTGGAGCTAACTATAGAAAACTCGAAATATCCAGTCGTTTTCCACGTAGTAAAGGACTCTTTTCCAATACCATTTGCTGGTATTCTCGGGAATGATATCCTCACTTAATTTAAAACAAACGTTGATAACGCGCAAAACCAACTACGTTTTGCAAACGGCTCAATTCCTTTGATACATCATCCACAAAATCTAACTCCTCAATCCAACACTCAAATATCTCAAAATCCTTTAACTCAATCTCAGAAGAATCCGATTCCTCAAACAAACCCACAAAATCCTTTAATTCAATCTCAAAAGAATCCGACTCTTCAATCAAATCCGCAAATATCACAAAATCCTCTAATTCAATCTCAGAAGAATCTAATTCCTCAATCAACCCACATTCACAGAATCAAAGCTAGAACGGAAACCATAGTTTCCTTAAAAGTGAAAAATCTGGACGTCACAGGGGGTATAATCGACAGAAAAGAAATTCGCGACAGCGTTTACCTCTCTGGCAGTTTAGTTAGAGTTGATAAAAACGGATTCGCGAAAACCACTATTCTCAATACAACTGATACTGACTTTGAAATCAATATCCCGGAAACGGATATTGACCCAATGTCCGAGTACGATATAAGAATAATGAAACTACAATACCAAACCAACTCATCCATTAATCACGAATCTTCTCGACTATCTGCACTAATAGAAAGCATCCGTGTTGCTCACCTCAATCATGAGGAAATAGCTCACCTATTACCAATTTGTACTGATTTCAATCATTTATTCTGCCTAAAAGGAGATATACTCACAAACACTGATTCTTCAGACCATAAAATCCTAAAAACTGACGACACACCAATAAAAGAAAAAATGCACCGACTCCCCGAAGCTTTCAAAGATGAAGTAGCTAGACAGATCCCAGAGATGAAAAACGACGGCAGAGTAAGAAATTCTGAGTCTCCGTGGAACGCACCGGTGTGGGTTGTGCCAAAAAAAAAGGACGCTTCCGGTGAACAAAAATGGCGTGTTGTTATTGACTACCGGAAATTAAATGACAAAACTATTGGCGACGCGTACCCGTTACCTAATATAACCGACATCCTTGACCAGCTAGGCGGATCTAAATATTTCACAACACTAGATTTAGCTTTTGGATTCCATCAAATCCCTATTCGAGAACAAGATATAGCAAAAACAGCATTTTCGACCCCACAAGGTCATTACGAATTCACCAGAATGCCTTTTGGGCTAAAAAATACCCCTGCAACCTTCCAGAGACTCATGAATATAGTTTTAGCTGGAATCCAAGGTCTCCGATGTCTAGTGTACCTCGACGATATAATCATTTTTGCTGACTCTTTGGAAACACACGGGAAACGATTACGAGAAGTATTTGAACGACTCTCACAACACAATCTAAAAATTCAACCTGATAAATGCGAATTTTTAAGACGCGAGGTAATGTATCTGGGACATAAAATATCCGAATCAGGCGTGCAACCCGATCCCGCTAAAGTTACAGCTGTTTTAAGATTTCCGGTCCCTAAAACACGTGAAGAAATTCAATCATTCCTCGGGCTTGCTGGTTACTACAGACGTTTTATAGAAAGCTTTAGTGATATAGTTAAACCGATGACTAGTTTATTAAAGAAAAACGCTAACTTCAAATGGACAAGCACAAAACAAAAATCGTTCGAGATAATAAAGAATAAACTTACCTCCGAACCAATCCTCATATATCCAGACTCCACAAAAGAATTTATTCTCTCTACTGATGCGAGCAATTTTGCAATCGGTGCAGTATTATCTCAAGTACGTGGTGTCACCGACAAAGATAAAGAAATCCAAACCGATTTACCTATTGCTTATGCCAGTAGAACCCTAAACACTGCGGAGACAAACTATTCCACTATAGAGCGTGAATTACTAGCTATAGTTTGGGCTGTCAAACATTTTCGTTCTTATCTTCTAGGCAGAAAGTTTCGAATAGTCACCGATCACCAACCTCTGACTTGGCTATTTGGAGTCAAAGACCCTAGCTCTAGATTACTCAGATGGAGACTGAAACTAGAGGAGTACGATTATGAAATTCAATACAAGCCGGGTAAGAAAAATCAAAATGCTGATGCACTCAGCCGTATAACACTACATCCTGTTCAAACTCAAATAAATATTCACTAGATCCAATCGGATGGTTCGTACAAAGATTTTCTAGCATCTTTAGAATCGACAATTATCACAAATAACCAAGTAGAAGAATACGACGAAATTCTAAAATCATGGGACGACAACCGCGTAATACTTATCTCCGAAGATTTAAATTTCAATGACAACAATGTCGACGTTAGAACGCATTTCGAAGAATTAAAAGAAATAAATCCTAAAATACACGATGTTGTTTCATTACCATTTAAGAAAAGAAAATTATACTACGCTGTAATTAAATCGAATTCTTGGGATAAACCTACCCTAAAGGACATTTTTCTTACTTTTCTTAATCTGAAAAATCAATTATTAAAAGAAAACCAAACTTCCATTAATATTTCAAAACCAGCTAGTGAGTTTAAAACTCTTCGCTGGAACAAGATCCGCGCATTAATCAGATTTATTTTTAGACACTCTAACGTTCGAGTAAAATTATTTTTAAACAATTTAATAGAACCAAATCCTGACGAAATAAAAAATATTCTGGAGGAACACCATTCCACTCCAGCGGCAGGT